GCGAATGAGAAGTGAGGATGGCCCGACCGTGTATTTTCCGCTTATTTTATCAGGAGATGACGTCAAAAGCCTCAAGTTTGCTTTGCCGGACAATATCATTAATGAAATATTTATGTTTTACGTTTATTGTTGTTCATGTTTTGATAATGTATCATGCCTATTTTACAAATAGATTGCTTTTGTCATTGTTTATAATACGTTCCGTACTGTAAACAAACTTTTTCTTTCATATACCTCAATTGGGTTATTGTCACTGTGTAGTGCTACACTAAAAATTGTGCTCTTTCAATTTTTAATTAAACAAAGCATTAACAAAACCAATGCTCAAGATGTGAATAAAACATATACAAAACGTTATGTACAAAACGTACATAATGAGTTTTTTATTACATTTAACGTAAGCTGATACTCAACAAAACGAAAATAATATCCATTTTATAACATTGTAATTTCAGCATTTAAAAATGACACGTTTTATAAAAATGATTGATCAAATACAGTCAGTACTCTAGAATTGATTTAATTATTTAAAAATGTTCATTCATTCCTTGTGACAATTAATAATCCCTTCTCAATTCTTTTTATCTGTTGTTTAAACTATAAAAATATTTCATTATAATTTTATATAAGTGCTTGTACGATGCTCGACTCGCGACACGAAACTTGTTTGATCTCGAACGCGAGTGGTATCGTTGCGCTCTCGACAAATTAATACCGGAAGCGCGAAATTCTAATAGTTGGTGGGAATGGTGAATAACGTGTCCCTTGGTCGGAATGTTTTTAAATCATCTATTTTGGAGTTGTGCGTTCGAATATATTACCTCGGTGTGTGTGTTGATTGGTTGGAAGACGAAGGTGGTGGAAGGAAGGAATCGAAAAATGCGGATATGTTATTGGATATTAGGAAAACTAGTGGAAGGAGAACGTGAGGGTGAAGGTGGCTTGCAAAGGTTTGAATAATTTGGGGAAAACCTGGAAAGGGGAAAGGGATAGTAAACATGACCAGGATACGTGTTGAACTTCTTTATGGTAGGAAAGGAATTTGTTAGGGGCTAGGAAGAAGGCTGGAAACGACTGTTCAAATGATTTATGGCTCTTTACTGGCCGGTGGGCTACGTGACCGGACAGTGCTCATACTGTAATTTTTGCAAAATAAACAGCTTTTGAAAGACTCCTACTCTGTATCGTATTCGTACACAATTTGAAATTTTTTAACATGCAAGTGAAACATGAAAAATGGAAAAAAACTTGAATAACTTACCTGTATTGGATTTCCTGACACATCAAGCTCCCTTAACAAGCTTAGCTTCACGTTTGGCATGGAAGGTAAGGAGTTGTTTACTAATAACAGAATTTTCAAATCTCTCAAGTACTGGAACTGCTTATCAGATGTCGAATCTATATGATTGAAAGACAAATCCAAGACATTTAAATTCGTCAATGGCAGTAGAGGTATGTCTTTAAGGCCACAACTAGCCAAAAACAACTGCCTCAAACCAGGCAAATAATGAAAAAGTTCCTTAAAGTTTGCCTGTAAAACATTCTCAGATACGTTGAGACTTAGAAGTTTCCCCAAAGAGACGAACGAATTATCTGGCAGGATTGTCAGTCTATTATGTGCCAAATTCAAAGAGACCAGTTGCGAAGTTGGAAAAGCAGTGGAATCCAGATGATCCACAAAATTATTCGCCAAATTAAGGTCTCTCAGTGTGTAACCGACCTCAAGAAAAGATGGCGACGGTACCACAGTAAATTTGTTGCTGCTCAGATCGAGTATTTCTAGTTTTGTTCCTTCGAAAACATCTCGGGGTAGGGATCTTATCTTGTTGCTTGATAAATTCAAAATTCGCAGATTCCTCAAATTGTGAAACTGCTCGGTGGATAATTGAATGATATGATTTCCACTTAGATCTAGCTGTTGTAGCGATTCCAAGCCGTGAAATGATTGTTTTCGTAAGCTTTCTATCTTATTGTCTCGTAGGTTTAGCGTTTCCAGGTGTTTTAATGTAAAAGTACCTAAAAAGATTTAAATAGCGAATATTTATTAAATAGTGATAATTTCGGTAAAATAGTTTTGATTCTTGGAAACAAAATTTTCGGTCACATACGAATATTTTCCATTTAATATATATTAGTTTCTCTAAGGATATACGAGATGTTTCATTATATTATCATATTGACTAATATTGCAACGGCTTTCATCAAGAAAACCGGCAGAAATATTCGATACAGTGTGTACTTTGAAAAAAATATATATACAGGGTGTAATTTAAATCGATCTTCTCAAATATCTTCGAAACTATTTATTATGT